TCCACACAGCTTAAAGTTGCCAAGGTTGAGAAACACAGATTTCAATGTTGAACGGCATAGAGCCCTATGGCAATCTTCTCAATAACATTCTCCAGGCTGATATGGAGCTATTTATGAGTCCTCTCTGAATGCAGTCATTCAGTCGATTTTGAATCCATTGAAGAGTTATATCACCTAGCTCATATTTTACCATTTCATTAATGAGGATATCAAGAGAGTCTTTGTTAAAGGCTTTGCTGAGATCAGAGTACATTACATCAACAGCATTCCCACAACTATCCCTGCTATAGCCCTTCTGCTGAATGTGCCTTATGAGCCCCTTACCTCAACTTATTAAACTGCACTTTTTTTTACTTCATACAGGAGGAGGTTCTTGTTTGCAGTGCAAGTACAGCAAATCTTGTGAGCCATTTCTCCTAAAGGCTTTGAGATACTAACACAAGTCAATGGAAACAGTTCATTCTGGATGTTCTTCCTTGAGGTGCAAAAAAAAAAAAAAATCTGTTTAGAACAGGAGGGTGGCTACTGATCATGCCATAGGCAATGCTTCAAATCCTGCTGCTTGTCAGGAGCTTATCTGCTACCACATAAACTTTAACCGCTTTCATAATGATTCTTTGTCCATGAGAAAACTTGTGTCCAGACTAATGAGAACTGGAAGCAAGTTGGGCAATTAAATAAAGTACAGCTTGAACAGCTTTGAGATACCACCAGAGTTAGCCCTGCTTTACAACAGAGATGAGAAACATTTTCACTGTTGGGGACAACACATGCATATATGACTGCACTTGCAGAAGGATAGCTTTACCTGTAAAACTGCTGCAAACAGAAGATTAAGTGTTGCTTACTCTTCCTAACCTATCCACCTTGCAGCCTGATTTTCTGGCCCAGCATCTATAGCCCCAACAGCCCTAAAATACTCTCAATGCAAAAGTCAAAGCATTAGACGGTCTAGCTTCTGTGCTGAGACAGTTTCTGTATGGAGCTTTACAGGAAGTGGCTAATTTTGTGATTTCCAATATCTTTACAAAGCCAGTTTGATGGCGTGGTTAAAGGCACCAGCCTACAAACAGGGAGACTGTGAGTCCTAGTCCTGCCTTAGCCATGAAGCCAGATGGGTGACTTTGGCCAGTCATTTTCTCTCAGCCCTAGGAAGAAGGCAATGGCAAACCACTTCTGAAAATGCTGCTAAGAAAACTGCAGAGACTTGTCCAGGCAGTTGATAAAGATCAATACTGACTTGAAAGTACGCACACACAATATTGTTGGAATCTCTGACTTTCGCAGACATTTGAGAGGCTCTGTGGTTCCTGGGCTCCTGGGTTTATTGCAAGGAGAACTTTCAAGAAGTATGAAGTAAGCAACAGCAAGTCAAGATTGGAAGGCAAGTGGAGAAGGGATGGTGGGTTTTCTGGACACCTGTGACAGACAATATCAAAGGTGCTAGAGGACCTTATGCAACGCAGGTACCACAGATTGTCCACTCTTGCTTTGAAAGTTTATCTAAAATTTTGTTTCCTTCTTCTGGCACAAGTGTGAGACTCCCAGCACCTTAGCCTTGAGGGCAATCTTTCCCAGTCCAGTGCTTTCCAGATCCTTTGGGACTACAATTTCATAAACCGCCAGCCAGAGTTGATTTTAGGAAGTCCCAACAGATCTGGAGGGCACCAGCAGAAGTCATCTGGAGAGACAGAGTTCTTAAAGAGGCATGGTTGAAAATACTCTCAGCACTCTTGCTAAACCCTAATTCCCAGGATACTTTCTTGAAAGCCAAAGCAATCCACTTAATATAAAACCAGCATATTTTGTAGTATGCATCTGTGCTTTTCAGACATTGTAAATTTAGCCTCTTAAACTTGCTCTACTTTTCTACTTTCTCAGCTCCACAAACTACTGTGACTCATTTCGTCAGAAATAATCAATAAGCTCCCAGATAATAGGTTGAACAATATAAAGAGTGACATTCTTAGGGTTTTTTGTAAGAGAAAGCAATCAGGACAACATCTGAAATCCTTGATTCAACCAGCAAAGTTTACTTTGTAAAAGTTGCATACAATTCAACTGAGATTTTTTGCAGGTGGAGGGGATTGTAGGATAATTTTAAAAGTGGGCAGATCACAGGATACATACTTGTTTGGCAAGTATTAGGTTTTCTGCCATAGTATATTATACATGGTGGTTATGTGATCCCAAATAATTGCACCAATTATGTAATTTGATATAATTAGACTAATTACATAAACAGAGAATCATTTACTTAGTTATTCCAAAACCAATGTTGGAAGGACATTAAAGAACCTGATTATTTTTTCTCCTATCTGCACTGCTACAAGTCAGGTATGACGCCATTGAAAACAATAGATTTATACTGACATTAAACTAGTGTGAAAAGAAAACCTTTACGAATTACATACCCATGTACCCAGGGGTCTTAACCATCAAGATATAATTAAATAGTCTCTAGTGATTTGCATGAAAGAATGGTGTCCTAGGTTGATTAAATTCCAGTGTTTGGAAATAGAATGGCTTTTCTAAAGTGTCTATATTTGTTTTCATCCAATACAGCAAGCAGGATTGAAATACTGAAGTAAGGCTCTGTCATCCATTTTGCAATCTAAATGTAATCATGGAACTGAACATTTTTAGAATTGGAAGAGATCTTGAAGATCATCTAGTTCAGCCCCTGATCAGTGGAGGGTATACAGTGCAAGAAGCAATTCTGTTGATCCCTGACAAATGGCCCTTCCAGATGCTGGTTTAATAGCTCAGCCAAAGAAGAGCCCACCAGATTTCAGGGTAATCTCTGTCAAGTAGCTCTTGCCATTAGGAACTTTCTCCTAATGCTTACCTGCCATTTTCATCCACTAGGACTAGTCCTGATCTCTTGTGCAACAGAGAGCATTCTGCTCTAGCTTCTTCATGAGACCCCTTCAGATATCCAAAGGCAATTATCAGTTCTCCCCTTAGGTGTCCCTTCTCCAAGTTACACATACTTTCTAAGACTTAGTTTCCAAATCCCACAAGATCCAGTTTGTAACTGTTCTTTTTAGGCTGATTCTAGAAGTCATCTTCCAATCTGTAACCCTCCTGTTTTCTCTCCTCTGTTTTCTTTTCCTTTTAAACATGGAAGAAAAAAAAAAAAGGGAATGGTACACTGTGCCTTTTAATTAGTAGTGCTTGGAGCCTTTGACTGTCGCCATAACTGTTGTTATTTCCTTGTTCCTCCCCAAACGGTATCTAAAATAAAACTCCCAGCCCACAATTAAGACCATTTCCATTGATTCCCACCTGGTTCCCTGCCCCACTTGACTTTTTTTCAAAAAAATCTTTCAGTAAAAAAGCTAAATATAAAGCTGGCTTACTGTACAGTATCCATGGGATACCCTAGCACTATATTTATTTGAAGCATTATATTTATTTGAAGCAATGCCCAGAGGTGTCCCGGGGTGGGGGGTAAAAAAAATCAAGATGGCAGTTGCAACCTATCAAAGCCCTGCCTCTGTTTACATGTGTTGATGTTGTGTGTACATACACAGGGACAGGGTTTAGATCACACAGTCATGACTGCTATCTTGACTTTTTTAATCTCCCCACTCCCCCATGGATACTGCTGGCAATGTCTTCGCGCCCCATAAACATTCTGCTGGGCTGATGGAAAGCATGCGGAAAGCATGCATTCCTTCTGGAAAACTGACATTTTGTCAGTGCAGGGCTGGTTCTAGGCCTAGGCAACCTGGGCAGTCACCTAGGATGTCAAATTTTAAGGAGTGACAAAATTGAAAAGACTTCCAACATACACAGGTTTTTTTTCTTCCTAACATTTTTCCTGCATGTGCAGGGTCCACTTTTTTTGGATCAATCAAATGTTGATTGCATTAGGAATTGACTGACAAGGTTGTCGCCTGAGCCTGATGTCATGCACTGAGAGAGAGCGACTGGTCCAGAGTCACCCAGCCGGCTTTCACACCTAAGGCAGGACTAGAATTCACAGCCTCCTGGTTTCTAGCCTGGAGCCTTAACCACTAGCCCAAACTGGCTCTCTTAACCACTAGATCAAACTGGCTCCAAAATACACATTATGAGTGTAAAATCTGATCCTCTTTCCTTGTTGCTTTAGAACTTTTTCTTTCTACACTTTTTGAAAATATTTACCTACTAAGTAGGTCAACTGGTAGTGAACAGCACACCAATGAGGCATTGCAAGTCACCAAAAAAAAAAAATTATTACAGCTAAGGACCTCAGGAACCTGATAATATTAAAGCAAGACAAAGGGCTGATAGGAAGGTACCGAATGAATAAATCATGTGACTATCAGCTTATCAAAGTTATACCCAGAAAAGGAGTAATGGTGCACACTGCGCACCAGCACACCCACTCGAGGGTTAAATATAACTTCGCAGAATTGTTGCCATATGACCACAGTGGGTACTGATGTAATTAAAATTATTTACTGTGATTCAGAGTAAATAGGGTGAAAATGTCTGAAAAAGAAAAAAGAAGGGTCCAGGGCTGAAAATTGTAAGTGTAATTTCAAAAACTGGAAGAAAAAAAGAAACAAGAGCGTGCCTTTTTGAAATTCCTAACAAAATCGGAAGATAAGCCAAACCACAGGGGGCGCCAGAGTATGGCTTTGCCAGGGCACCAAAATGTCTGGAGCCCGCCCTGGTCAGTAGCCATCTTTTCATGAATGAACATGCCTTTCATGGCAGCCATTTTGTGAATGCACTCACCCCGTGTTCTCAAAACTACAAATCCTAACCTACGCTGCCCTTACCAAAGGCCTAACTTAAAAGGAAGAGGAAAGAAGTGCAGGATTTCCTGGCTGTTTCAGGATAGTGCCTCCACATTACCTTGATTTGGACACCACACAGCAAAGAACCCAGTTTCAAATATTGATCCTGAGGAAACAAAGCTTCAGTCTGAACCCTGTGTTCATTCTAGCGAAGGGTTCAGGTTTATGTAAGCTATATCTGTTCCACAGTTTCAAGCATGGGAAGGAAACAGCCTGCTTTGCTTTGCCTCAGTCATAACATTTAGTTACGTTCTTATTAAATTCTTTTTAGAAAGTTGTGGCACGACTGACGTTAACATGAGGTTTTCTCATTGATTTCATCAGGCAGAAGTATCTTTCCTTTTTGTGGCAACAGTTACCCTAATTCCAAGGCTGAGACAGAAACCCTGAGGAAAGGAGGGACTTAGCTGGCAGGGGAACGGGGAGAAAGGTTTCAGAAGGTTTAAAAGGAAACAGATTGCATTCTTCTTACCCAGAATGAATTATGTGGGGTCCAGACCAGTTGTTGCTGTTTTTAAATCAGGCAGGAACATTGCAGTTTTCATCTGAAATAATTTAATATTGAGAAGCAAAAAAATAAGGCACACTCTTTGCTTGATTTTTCTGCACTTCAGTCGTGAAAGCTCGTTTTCGTACTTGGAGAGTTCTCCCTGATTCTGACTTGTCCCCTGAACTTAGGTAATGGCATTGCAGGGAAGAGGTTTACATAACTGCATGTAGTGTACTGCTCTGGCTGTTCCTCAGCCACTACGATCTGGCAACGTCAACAAGTTCACCTGAGTTACATCACATCTGAACTGCTGTAACACACGATACCCTGGAAGAGGAGCTGGAAACTTCAATGAAAGCAAAGCCAGCTGCCAACTAGTTATGATATCTGGGTCGCATCGGTCCCCCTTTGAAAAATCTGCCCTTGATTGCCAATCATTTTCTGAGAATTCAAGGTGATACTTTTAGGCTTCAAAGCCCTAATACCAGTTTGGGGGCTGTCTTCTTACTCTGAACTGCCCTGTTCTTTAGAAAAGGCAAACCACTGTTTGCAGAGGCCTAGTTGGCAGTGGAGAAAATGCATCTTCCCATTATTACTGTACTCCCTTCCCCCCCCCCCCATTTTGCCTTCTAAATTGCTTTAGAAGTTTTAAAGTTGCTTTTGATAGATTTCATGGAGGTTTTCTGTTGCAGTTCTTTGAATTCAATAATTATTTGAATTAATAGCCTTCAGACAAGAATTATAGACATAGTTTTAGTAAATAAATACAAGTAGGAAAAAAAATCATCTTGATGACTGGGAGTTCAGCATATAGACTGAGTTTATTCAAGATGGAAAATGTTCATAGTGATATGATAATTTTGTGTGCAGTTTTCACAATTCCCAGGCATTACATGGTATTATACTTACCAGGTGATAAATAAATATACATGGATAAAACAGCCCTTAGATTTGGAATGTATGAGAAAAAAATCATTCCAGTTCACAACCCAACCCTTTGAACACTCTGTGAAAAAGCACACAGCATCTGTCCTTGGAGAGTTTGGCAACACCACGCAGGAAGAAGTCTTTGCTCCTCTTTGGATTTTTTCATGTCATTGCTACTGAATGTTATCAGCTTCATGTGCGTCGTACTGATATATAAAGGGAGTCTGAGTGAAAAAAATAACACCAATGTTTGGTGCCTGCTTCACTTATTTGAGAAGCAGTCATCCAACATGTGATATGCCAGTGTGAACATTAAATTGCCCTTTTAGAACCAGTAACTCATGGTGGTGGCGGCAGCTGCATCCAAAAGCATCTCGTAATTAGTGATTGCTCTTTTACTTCACTGTGTAGGAATTCTGGCCCATTCCTTCATGGTGAGCTGCTTCAACTCAGTAACAGCTCCGGTTTTTCTAGCAAGAACTGTTTGTTTCAGGTCCTGCCTATTTCTGTGGAGTTCTGGTCTGCAGCCTGATGTGGCCCTTCCAAAACACTAAATTTATCTTTCACCCATTGCTTGTGGATTTACCTGTATGCTTGGGCAATGGCTTCTATCATGCTACTTTCCCCATGAATCCCATTTTTTTGGTGATATAGCCATGAACGCTAATTTCCAAGTTAGTCAAGACAAGAGAAGCCTACAGATCACTGGATGTTGTTTTGGGGTTCTTTGTGGCTTCCTGGATGATTTTATCCTGAGTTCTTAGAGTGTTTTTTACAGGACAACTATTGGGAAGATTCACTGTTGTTCCAAATCATCTCCATTTGGAGTCTCTGAATCTGTGTGTGTGTGTATTTATATACAATCCAGTTCCCAAGATTTTGGATAGTCTACAAAAATAGGGTTAAAATATAAATAAATCAGCTACAAAAAACATAAGAATCAAGATCTCAGCAATCCAAATAGCAACCCAAATAAAAATGGTCACCCAATAAACATAAAAATCTCATGAACAATATGAACACCTCTAAAATCAAACTCCAAATTCCCCTCTGATCAAAACAGCCTTTGTGGCTCTACCAAAAATCAATACTCAGAGTGCCAGGCATACCTCCAGAGACAGTCTTTCAAAGTATGGGGGCTATCATGGAGAAGGGCTGTTTTTGCGTCTCTGCTTTCTTCACTTCTCCTAGGTGCAGAATTCTATGCACTCCCTCTCTACATACTTGTACCACAAGGCAGATCCCTTTAGGAAGTGATGGTCTTTAGGTGTCCTGGATCAAAACCATGTAGACCTTATAGACTAAGGCCAGTACTTTGAATTGGTAATTAGTGCAGTGACCAGATAATTGTTATTACATTACAATAGTGGGTCTCATCCAATCACAGCCTGGCTGCCATATATTCCACTAACTGCAATGTAAGGTAGCCCTGTACTGTATAGAGTGTGTAGTACCTCTTCTTTATATTCTAGGGTTTTTTTAGATTTTTTATCCCACGTTTATTATTTTTATAAATAACTCAAGGTGGCAAACATACCTAATACTCCTTCCTCCTCTTTTTTTAGATTTTTTATCCCACGTTTATTATTTTTATAAATAACTCAAGGTGGCAAACATACCTAATACTCCTTCCTCCTCTTTTTTTAGATTTTTTATCCCACGTTTATTATTTTTATAAATAACTCAAGGTGGCAAACATACCTAATACTCCTTCCTCCTCCTATCTTTCCCACAACAATCACCCTGTGAGGTGATTGGGGCTGAAAGAGAGTGACTGACCCAAAGTCATCCAGCTGGCTTTCGTGCTTAAGGCAGAACTAGAACTCACGGTCTCCTGCCTTCTAGCCCAGCGCCATCACCACTAGACCAAACTGGCTCTCAGTTTTAGCTCTGTATCTCACCTCAGAGATAGCATTTGTATGCAAGAAGGGGTCTTCTTGTCTATCAGGTTATTGAATGTACTCTTCCTGAAACCCAGGCTGGATGACCACTAAATGACAGCAAAGAGTTAGAGTTCTCTTTCCTGCCATCTAGCAATCCTGTGGATTTTTGCAGCCCTCAGTTAAACTTCTGTAGTACCTGTATGCAACATCAGTGACTTTTAGCATTAGTTATATGAAAATTCTGCTTTCTTGATAAATTATATTTTGGTAAAGTAATAGTATTATTTTTGTTGATGTGGCAAAGGCAGAGTATTTTTCAAGTTAAATTTTGATGTCTCTTGAGCTGATTTCTGTGATTACCCAAACAAGAAATCAGAATAACCTAAAGCAGCTTCATTGGAATAATAATGTATTTGCATTAAAGAAATCAGAACATTTAAGGATGTGAACATGTGTGACTTGGTATCTATTTCTTTAATAGTTATTAAAATGAGAGACAGATCTAGATGCATAAAGAATTAGTTGGAGAAAAGAAAGGAAAAGGATTTTCAATGGAGAAGTTTTTTTCCTTCTCTCCATTCTAGTTTGAACTTGCGAATGGGTGGATCTTCCTAGTGCTACAATATTGATTTGTTTTCTAGGCTGGTATCTGGGACAAAATGGCAACCCTAGCTACCTCCCAAATATCTAGCAGGGCACAATACATCCCTACCAGCTATTTCAAATTATCCAAGATGAATCTATTTTCCAAGAGTTATTCTGTGGTAATTTCTGACCTTGTTCTATTCCTGTTTTTGCATATTATGGATTCTTTCTTAAAATGTTGTTAGTATAAATTAATGTTGCCACATGATGATGATGATGATGATGATGATGATTGTAAACAAGCATGGAAGCATATATGAATGCTTTACTGTGAGATAATTACAGTTTACTATTATACCAACCACCTAAACAAGTGCCTTACAATGTGTTGTTCATGTAGGTTGGGGATTCTGGAAGTTGAAATTCAGCATATCTGGAGTGCACCATTGTGGGAAGCACTGCACTTTCCCACTGTCAAAAATCTTCCCAGCATTTAAATCACTGCAGAGAATAAATGAATGCAGCCAAAGCCAGGAGCTGAAGACACTTCAATCATGCATTATTCGGTAGAGTATGGGGACTTTGCAAAGTAATCCTTGCTTTGACAATAGGGATTTTAAAAACACAAATCTGTTTTCCTCTTTAAATAAGGGAGGGAAGGCACAAGGCATGGCTATCAGGCTGTTTGGGCTAGGGTATCAGAAGATATGTACGCTGGGCTTGACACGCTATCTGAAGATTAATGAGCTAAAATATTGAAAAAAGTACCACCACTGTGAATAGTTCAGACAGCAGAGACCATGTTTGGATCTCTGAGCTCTTTAAGTTTTAAAAAATAGCCAAAGAGAGAGGTTTAATTTAAAATGGATTCAATAACTGATTTATTTTCTCCCCCCTGGTGTCATATTCTGAATAAAAACATTTACCTTGAAGGTTCTGTTTACAGGTAGTCCTTGTTTAGCGACCACAGTTGGGACTGAAAACTTAGTTGTTAAGCAAAGTAGTTGCTAAGTGAAACTGCAACTGTGTTTATGATCTTACTTCAGCTTTCCTTTGCTTTACGGAACTGCAAAGGTCATAAATGCAAGGATTGGTCACAAAGTTACTTTTTCATCACCATCGTAACTGCGAATGGTCGCTGTACAAGGCAGTTGCTAAATGAGGACTACCTGCATTTTTCTTGTAGGGGAAACCTTCATAATATACAGATTAAATTGGAAAATAGCATATTTTTCATTAACATATTTTTTCCAATGCTGGAGTCTCAATCTGAATCATAGGATCTTATTACTTGAGGTGCACGGGCAGCTTTTGATCTTTACATTTTAGGAAATAGATAGTTCAAGATTAGGAATGGCCTATATGCTTATTTTCAAATTATATTCCAAAGGAATTCTGGCTTGAGCTAGGAAAGTTATCAGAGATTCCTAATCATGGATATCATGGACAGCAAATAAACTTTCCTGGAGGTCCACAGTGATTTTGCTTTGCACTGTGAAATTATATAGGAAACATTTGGAGCATCATATGGCATTCTACGCAGACTGAACTTAGCACGAGGGAGACCAACAGGCTCTCCATCATGTACCGGGCATGTGTTCTAAGCATCCCCAACCTTCTACTTGCTGGGACTACGGCTCTTAGCGTTCCAAGGCCCTTTCCTTGCTTACAGTTTCCATCAGTGCTAGACCACCCTGCCAACCCAGCTGTTCCTCTTGTTCATTGGAAGTGTTGGCCTTCCATTGTTCTCCAGCCAAGAATTTAAGCAGTGTTAGGTCCATCTTTCCTATTCCTGAAAACTGGTAATTTTTCCTGCTTCCATCAACAGGATCCTATGACAACATGGTATGGAAAAGAACATTGTGCTTCACCACTCCTTTTCTGGCAGGCAGGATGACAATGTGGCCAAAGTGGATCTTGGGCCTCTGGGAAGGTCATGTCTCATTCACTGGCCATCATTATTTAGACACTGACCAATATTGTTCTGAAAATATTGGCCTTCAACCTATGAGGCAAGATGTTTGATTACCAAGGTGCTATGAACACAGAATGGAGGCTATCATCCAGATATCCCAATTTATGATGGTAGTTCTTTCTACTAACATGGTGTGAACAGGATGGTATATTAAGTCAGGATTAAGGAAGGGCTGAAGGAGGGTGACAGTTTGAAAAATGCTACCCTAAAATCCAAACACACACCCATCCCTTGCTAAGATCCTACGGCAGGTGCATGTGGGTTCTATAGCAGAAAGTCTAAATGGGAAGCATTCTCTGATTTGAAAATGGCCATTCCAGTCCATGTAGGATATTTCATCCCAATCAATTTCTCTTTGGTTGGTAATTTTTCAAAAGCCTTGTTTTCCACAAGGGGTATTCTTGGTAAGAATATTGTGAAATGATGGATGAGGAAGAGCAAATACATGCTTGTTCTCAGTTAATCTTGGGATTTGCAAGGCCCTAGGCCATGTTCCCCTGAATTGTTTGCTCAAAACATTAGCCTTGTGGAATTTAATGGAGTTTGCACCTGCACTGAGTTCCCTGGCCCTTATCCGACCAACGGTTCCGCATTCATGCTTCCATTGAACAGAGCATAAGCGTGTTCAGCAATAAGGCCTTGATCCCCCAAGCTACAGATACTTTATAACAAAGCTTTTTCCAACAGTTCAGCATAACTGCAAGAAGCTGCTGCAGTTCTCAAGCTTTTTTCCCCCTCTTTTGTTTTATTTACTTAAACTGTACACAAATGCAAAATACTAGGACAGCAAATGTAAGTGAATGTTGTTTGGTATTTAAATTATGATGGAACAGAACCTACAAGGGACTTTATTAAATAAACAACAATTCAGTTTTCTTTCTTTTTTAAAGGATGTACATCTTGGAATGCCTCCTACATATGAGGGTATAGAGGAGATCCTGATCCAAAGACAATGGAATCTATTTTGTACCCTGAAAAGAAATTGGCAGGTCTTAACACAGAGTGTTCAGTATCACTATGTGACTATAGATACCGTGGCCTTGCCATCTGATAAAAATCACAATTAATACGTTGGCCTCTTTGGTTCCAAAATGTTCTGTATAATATATTTTCACTGTATCCAGTATTTTTGTTGCTATAAAAATAACTTTTTTTCAAAGGATAATTTCTCCTAAGTCATGCAACTACATCAGTGCAAACATGAAAACCAATCACTCGCTTTTAAAAAAAGAAGCAAAAGATTTAATTTCAAGTATAAAAAAAATATAAAAAGTACCGTCTCGTTTCAGTCCAGTTTCATCTAGTGTGGGTTGACACTTTAAATTGCATAGCTCATGCGGCACTTGTTTTTAAATCTAGAGAACAGTGAGCAAAAGGAAGTGCGCCATCAAGTACCAACCAGTCAAGGCATTGAAATCTGCAAGTGCTATAAGAACGTGCATTCAAGCAGGTTGCGAGTGCTATGATGTAGCATGGATTTCTGAGCTCTGCAGCCACCCTTGATACGTAAAAGGGTTTGAAAACCAAACTAAAGGTAATACCCTCTACTTGTGCATTCTCTCTCTCTCTCTCCTTTTTCTTCCTCAGGATGTAGTAAACATTCTCACAGTTTAAAAACACTGGGTGCTCCTCCTTTCCCAAAATGTATCCACTATGTGATTGAGATTTCTCTTATGGCTCGTAAGTTTACTTGCGCTAACACTGGCTTCTCTTTCATTCTGTCCTTTCCAGCTGTTCCCATTGTAACCTTACTGTACTCCAAGCATGGAACTTCAACTGCAGGTTTTGATGCTGCAAATCTTTTGAGAATGTAATACGGACCATGAGCAAAACTAGAACAGGAAGGGCCAAGTCTTTTTCGACAACGTACCAGGGATAATCATCCATGTGAGTGGTATGAGAGAACCTAGCTGTCCAGTAAAGCATAAAATCATGCCAATAGATCATTCAGAAGAATACAGCCACCATTCTGATATTAAGCACATGGTACTGTTTCTCTTTCTCTCTCTCTCTCTTACACAAACATGCATACGTACATACATACATACATACATACAGTGAGAGAGAGAGAGACTGGCTTCATCAGTGTTCTGTCCTGGAAGTGCTATATGTATATCTTACGTTCAACATCAAGAGGAAGGACTAATCTTGCACCAAGCAGGTAACCTGCTGCTTCCTTTTAGACCTTAGAGATGATGGTAGTTGGTTGTTTGTTTGGTCAGTCACTGAAATACTTGTGTATGGGCATATATGATTGTTTTCTTGTTTTTCTCTGAACATTTCATTCTAAATATAGGGCTGGTTGAAAGACAGAAGAAAACGTCTACTGGCCTGTATGCATATATCACCAGCAGACATCTAACTCCCTTACATAATGCCTTCCTCTGAGCTTGATCATGTAATGTGTGCGTTCGTGTTGCTGTAGGGGTGTGTGTGTGTGTGTACACACACACACACATAAACATACACACACACAGCAACATGAAGGCACACATACATACATACACATACTTGTGTCTTTGGGCATGTAGGTAGGATTAAGTAACTTGATAGCATTAGTTTATATGTAATAGTATACTTTTAGTGTCCAGGATCCATAGATTGCCACTGTCCTGACAACAGAGTGCAATGATATATATTTATATATTTTTTTTCTCAGTGCTATTGCTGCTTTTGCTGCGGTTGCCTCTGCAGTAATGTTTAACATCCATGCCCAGAAGGAAGAAAAAGAGCAGTCGCGCTTCCAAATCCATTCAGTAGGGGAATCTTCTCACCCCCTCCCTGCCCCTGCCCCTTCCAAACATCCTCCTCCAGATCAGGCGCAACCACATTCTTCCACAATCATATTGGGAACGTCTCTCTTCACGATGTTGTATTCATCATCAAAGTACAGCATGGAGATTGTGCTAAGTTTGGTTGGAATGCAACAGGAGTTCACGGTGCCTGGGTTCAGCCCTCGCATGCGGTACTGATTCACTACTGCTGTGTGAAAAGAGGAAGCGGAGCCCGGGACTCCGGCCAAATAGGCTGGGCAGCTCCCTTCACAGTAATTCCCATAGTAACCCATTGGGGCTATGATCCAGTCATTCCATCCAATGATCCTAAAGTCAATGTAAAACTGTTGCCTGCAGCATAAATTGGTCCTGCCATCACATTCCAGGCCTCTTTTCCGAATCCTGTGCTTGTTGTCAGCCAAGCGGGCTTGCACCACTAAAAAAGGCCGGTGAGATTCATCCCCAGAATCCACATAAATTGGCAGCACTGAATACTCTTCGCAGCCTTCACACTGAATGTCCAAACTCAATCTTCTCTCTCCTTTCTCAAACAGAGCTTGGATTGCTTCTGTCATGGGAAATGTGTGCCAACCACTTCTTTTGAGATCAACTTTCTTTTCAACCACATTCCACTTGTTGCTAGTGTCCGAGTCTTGGAAATACACTTTGACTCTTACTTTTCGCCGGCTGCCTTTCTCCAAGACATATGGAAGCAGCTTCAAGTAAAGCCACAAGCTGGCTTGAACCACAAACAAATTCTGATTCCCTTCATTAGAAATGAAGAAATAGAGGCGCATTCTAGAGGATGACAGGTCATCTAGGATATAACGGGGAAAAAAAAACATTAAGTTCAAAAGATGTTTATGTTAGGTTTTCTTAAAGAAAAAAAAATTAATTGTGGATCAAAATAAATGCATAAGATTATTATCCGCCACAAATAATATACATCAATGGCTACACCAGAAAAAAAGGTGGGGGGGGCGGGGGAGAATGCACACGGTCAACTATAAATTGCAAAGTTAGTTCAGTGGCTGAATCAGTATTAGAAACCCATTATAAAGTAAGTTCCCAGAGAGAAACTAATCAGGGTATGGGGGAAAAAAGCCAGATCCTTAGAAATTAGTATACAAGCAATTAAGTTCAGATAGATGGAAAGTCATGAAAGGAACTCTGAGCACCTGGATAAGTGCTAATTAGTTTTTTTAAAGTGTTGGCCTGGCACAGGCCTCCCTCCTGTATAATCTTCCCAGAAAGCACAAATTGTTAACAATCAGGGAACATTTTTCAGAGAAAGGATTTGGTTACAATTTAGATGTACTGTAATGTCACGCAGTAGCTCTGTAATTCTTGGGAAATGCAAGGACTTGACTTGTCCACTTAACCAAAGCTAAATTCTTACCAGGATTGTAAAATTGTCTGATTTTGATTGTTTCAGATTGCAAATAGAAGCATGTTCCTTTGTATAACAATATCCAGAACATAAAAGTTTCAGAGAAAGCATTCTAGCACAACTGTCTCCCTGACATTTTAGCTTTCAGTGTGCTGGGGTGAGGGGAGTTAGTATTCAATACTATGAGCCTCACCCACCAATAGCTCAAAGGGGTACTATCCAAGCAAAGGTTTACTGCCTTAATAAGAACTGAGGTGGCAGAGCAGATGCATTTGTCATAATTGTGCCCAGAGAGATAGCTTGTCCTGCTAACTTCAATTCCCTTTTGCACAATTCTTAAAGGTACAGGATTCCTGTCTTATTTATTTACTTGGTATCTGGACACACTAAAGCAGGGTTCCTCAACCTTGGCAACTTTAAGACGGCTGGTTCCCCTTGCTGGCTGGGGAATTCTGGAAGTTGAAGTCCACATATCTTAAAGTTGCCAAAGTTGAGGAACCCTGCTTTAAAGAAGACAAGTCCTCTTCTACTCCTTGCAGGTGGTTTGTTTAACCATGGAAGCAAAAGATGAACTTCAGACATTAATATTTTATAAGTCCCACACAATTTTCTGGGTAAGTTAAGCAAGTTTTCATTGCACCCAATAGGTGATAGATCCAGACTTAGTCATACTTAGAATAGGTATTTTGAAATCAATGGGATTTAACTTAGACAAGACTAATTCAAGTCCCACTGATGCCAGTGGGATTAACTCTGGATCCAACATAATGTCATTGTTGTTTTTTTTTCATTGAGATTAAAGCAAGAAAGCAGATGCCATGAGTATCTGGTTGCTGCCTTCTGGTTTTTAATTTATATATTTATAATATGAACACTACATGGGACAAGCTGGCACTGAATCTCTTACCCAAACACCTCTGACCTAGAAATTACAATCCTGTGTACATTTATATGAAACAGGTCTACCTCTGAGCAAATATGCACAGGATCACACAGCTCCAGAGTTTATTCAGTATTCTTCATTCTGCTTCATTTCATTCCAATTCACTGCCACATCGTTCAGTTTGCTGAAGACAAAAACCCTAGTTCTGGCATTGTCAAGCAGAATTGCAAAATCTTTGTAGTTTAGACCCTGTTCTTACAGTGCCAAAGGAATCAGTTATCTTTATATATATTGATAACACTTTATTAGTAGTAGTATTGGATGGATACATATTCTTAATCTAAACTTTCCAGGACCATGATGGAGAAAATATCACATAGTATGTTGAATGTGTATTTATCAGAAAGCTGTAGTCCCAACACATCCAAATAGCACCAGTTCTTTAAAGGATTATAGGTAGCCAATGCAAATTTCTTGCAATATGGAAATTTGTACCTACCGTAAGCAAGTCATAAATAGCATACAAGGTAACAGTGACATATCAATGATAAACAGGTAATAAATTATGATTGCAGTGGGAAAAAAGGAGGAAGATAACTAAAGTTTTAATAGATTTGTCCTTCTCCCATTTTACCCACCCAGATAGCATCCATTCACCTATCCATTTATCTCTTCCTGCCTTGTATGTAATAATGGTTTTCAAACTTTCTACCTTAAAGCATCCCTTTTTACAGTACCTGCTCTCCTGAGGAACCCCTGAACATTTATTATGAATCCAACATTGCTGCAAATGATTTAGGAACACATGTCATATTCACACTCAGCTCATACACAGGACACTGCTAGGCCACACTATTGCCCTGTGTTTACTGGGTGTGTGATTTAGAACACACCTAATGTTCTTTTATATTTGCGTTCTGCTGGAAAGGAAAGCTTGTTTGTCACCTTCTCACTGAAGAATCCCTGATAAACTTCCAAGGAACAAGATGTTTTAAAACCACTGTCAAGTATTTGCACTGGTGGTTTTACTAGCTGGCAGCTGTAGAACACAGAAACGTAGATACAAAATATCAGGGAAAGGAGGGTCAGACAGATATTGTTTAAGATGTAGAGTGAGAAAATATCACTTGGATATGCAAGAAGGTAACTTCAGCACATTAGATCAGCTAAACTGGAGACGTGGGATAGATATAGTACTATTAAAATAGAAGGAGCAATAGAATCACAGAGGAACATGGAAGTAAGGAAAAAAGGTGGATGTTACACCAGAGGAAGAAATACAAGATGAGCAGATATTGTTGTGAATTGGGAAATGAGAAGGAAAAATGGATTAAATGCTATCACAAATGCAATTCTTATGGGTGAGTAAATACTAATGGGTGATATTGCAGAGTAGTATCTGATTATTTTTACTGATTCATAACTTCATACTCTGGTTTAACTGATATGTAGGTGGATGGATATGGAATAGGAACTAGAAAGCCTTGCAGAATAATGAATGCATCTAAAAATGACATGGATGGGCTCACCAAAGGAGAGTATTAATGAATTAAGGTTATGAATAATGGAGAGTGTATGTGAGGAAAAAAGGTTAGAGGTCACTGAGCGGATGGATATATGTATGTGAATGCCCAGAAGCTCTCTGAGGCTGAAGGAGCTGAGGGAGTAGAAGAAAGTCAGGTGGTGCACAGGACGGGGTTAGAAAGATGGAAAGGTTACTGAGCAAAATAGGTCAATAAAGCAGAGCAGCCAAGTTCACGTTACCAGTTGATAGCAGGCACAAAAGGAGGAGAATCTATGGCCAGAGAGGTGGGTGGGGCAGGAGGATGGGGGCTGGAAGGGATGAGAATGGATCCCTGGATGAAGAGGTTAGGAGAACAGATATTCTGTATGGCACAAGCTAAAAAACAGGGTGTGGAACAGCCAGTGGTAGATGGATTGGAAGCAATGCACAGCAGGAAAAATAGTGAATGGGTTTTGCATGGGAAGGAACTATGCCATGAGGATGGCAGAGGTTTCTGAGAGTAGCATGTATAAACCTATAGCCTGTGGGAGGAAAATATGACAAAGAGATCTGATCAGCAGAGCCTGGAGGATGGGTGGTAAATAGATGGAATTTTTGTAGCAGGCATGCTAGCAGAAGGTTAAGCTACGTAAGGATTAGGTTTAAGTGGAACAAGTACTACAAATGAATAGACTAGTAGACTTGATTACAGGGACAGAAACCACGAATGGAGAGGTGAATAGAGGGGTGTGGAACAGATCGCACAGAGGGTAAATTAGAACCGAGCAGGAGTTACAAAACCATATGACAGGAATTTAGCCCACACTCTAAAGAAATAAAGGCGGGTGTGGCAGTAGTTGGAAAAGGGGAGGTAAGGGGAGTGTAAATCAGAAGGATGGAGCTGGACGGGTAGGCCAGGCCAGGATGGGACTGATGGGAGGAAAATGGATAGGATGGGCAGTCGAACGGGGGCGGAGGGTCCCTGGAAGGCAGAAGAGGCAGCGTAAAGCAGGTGAGGTGGGACGCGGGTCTGGAGGAAGGACCGGCGGCCCCCAGAGGGGAGCGGTGGGATTGCAGAGACCGGGAAGTGGCTCGCTGCGGGCGAGACGGGATGCTCGGACCCACGTTCCGAGGCGGAGGCGACGGGTGCTTGGGGCCAAAAGGGCGATGCGGGAGGGTGGGCGAGGCCCACGAGCGGGCAACCCACCTGTCTCGGCGAAGCTGATGATCTCAGAGACCTGCTGATGGGCCGCGGGCCCCGCACTCGCCTGCCCGTCCAGGCTGGGGATCTCGACGCGGCCGTCCTCACGCACCTTGCCGGCGTGCAGCTTGCGCAGCGCCGTGACCAGAGCCGCCTTGGGCACGGCGTGGGTGATGTTGGGCCGGTCGCGCATCTGGAGGCGGCTCAGGATGTGCCTCTTGATGGCCTCCAGGAAATCG